ACTGTTAGTTCGTTTCGCTTTTATTGTTCTTCACACCAGTAGGGTAACTCTGACCGCAAAGTCCGCACTTTTTCTAAGAGGGCGCCACCGAATTTTGAGGACACTTTTTAAAAGGCTCAAAGAAAGGAGTGACCTATCTTGTTGTGTACGATCTTTGGTCATCGTGAATATTAGAGAGGGGACGAGAAAAGCACAGATCGAACCCACAGAGCTGATAGAGTCTGCTCAACAAAACAATCTTGTCTTTAATGGAGGTGTTTTATGCCACCATCAGCACAATTTAGACCAGATACTGTACCCTGCCTGTCGGGTAGAGGTGGGCAAAATCCGGACAATCTACAAGGATAACCGGATAATTCTCAATGAAACATTTTCCGAATTTAGACTCTTAACCTTCTTTCCTGACCCGTTTGTCGAAGTGTGTGCACCCATAATTTGTTGAAGTGATGCTAACCCGTTTGTCGAAGTGGTTCTAACCCATTTGCCGAAGCGTTTCAAATCCTATTATTTGCTGAAGAGGTGCACTAACATATTATCCGGATTTTGCTAAAGCGACTCATTGCCCAGCCCTAGTGTCGGGACCAAGCCCGGTATAGAAGGAAACAACTTCCTAGCAGAAAGACCGAAAAACAATTCTCCCTACACGAGAATCGAACTCAGGTCTTCTGTGCGTGACGGCAAAGCGCTTAATAGCTTTTTGTTTGGTAAGAGTTTCACTGAACTGGCAACACAAATTAGGCCATACACGTGCCAAAAACATCAGAGGTATTACTAGAGAGTAGCAGACGGAGAAAACAAGGAGGGGAGAAAAGGACGACAGATGTCTGATAGGAAAGAACGAGCAAACCACACCAGAGCCCCCGCCAACCATCCAAGCGAATAATTATGTGGGTTACATTCAACCAACAGTAACCTCCAGTTCATTTCTCAGTGAAGAGTAGGAATGGCAAAGGGGAAATATAGTGACCATTCCTGTTAATGGTTTCCTCCATTTTCTTACTTACGTCATTACCACTTGGTATCGAAAATGAATCTTATAATCGTTTGACGAAACAGTACTGCAATATCAGAAGGAAAAAAACAACCTAAAACCACGCGCTCAAATTAAACTGACTTGTTACCAGAAAATGTGCCCAACAAGCTGTCAGTTCTGTCAACAGTGTTCAAACCAGGCGGGCCGTTTTTTAGATCATGACTGACATACGGGGGG